CGCGGCGGTTAAGGGCGGCGCCGCGAGATACGGGCGGCGGGGCAGGTGGAGCCGGGCAGAAGAGGCCCCCAAAACGTGTCACGTCGGTAACGAAGCAGCCGTCCGTTGGGTGGGTTTTGCCCGGCGCAAGCCAGAGGTGCGGGTGACTTGGGATGCGCCCTGTGTTAGCGCTGCGCTGGTGTTAAAACTGAAAGGTGGCGTGTTCAAATCTAGGTTTTTCTGGGCGAAAAACCCAATTCAGAACGGAGTTGAGGTAAAGGTGCACAGGCCTGGTGTGTGCTTGTCTGTCTGCTGGGTTGGAGCTTGGCCTGAGGAGCATCTCCTAAGGCAAAGAAACTCAAGGTGCCCTTGGAGGGGAGAACCAAAGGATGTAGTATTTAAAAAAAAAAAAAAAAGAAAGAAATAAGTGAGAGACAGAGTTCAGCTGAAATTGCTTCAGCTCCGGCTATTCCACCTCAGGTTTGACCTCAGCAGATCGCAAATATTGGCCAGGCCTAATTTAACTTTAATAGGATGCCATTTATGGAAAAAATAATGTATTTTTTCTCAAGACAGAAGATCTTCTTGCATGTATTCAGTCGGTTCAAGAGACTCTCAGGATGTCTAATTTCCAACTTGTTCACTCACTTTTGGTGTCAGCAGATCTTCCTACCATTGATTTTTTTTCTTTTCTCCAGAGCAGAGTCTAGCCCTCTGACGTGAGATAATGCAGCGTAACCTGTGCACCGAGTGCATTTGGTTATCAAGCCCCCTTTTATCTCATCCTTTTCTCATCTGATCACGTGCGCCCGAACGCTGAGCATAGCTTGTAGCCTGAGAAGAGGAGCTTTGTATAACCGCATTGCAAATATGCTGCCTTAAAGTAGAACAGGTGAACCTGGTCCAGGAAGGATGCTGGCTTGCACTCTGCCTTTCCGACAGGAGAGGGCGCGGGGAAGCCGTCCCTTGCTGCCTGTTTGGCGGCCTGCATGTTAGAGGAGAGGGTTACACATTAACGCTTAACTTCCCGCGTCCTGTGGGTAATTACGTCCTGCCCTGATTTTTAGGGGGTTAGCTTAGCTGCCTGCCGGTTTGTCCTGTATTTGCAATTTGATTAGCTTCAGTAAAAGAATGCTTCAAACGTTGTCTTTTTTGTTGTTGTTTTTAATATGAAATCAATCAAGTTCTAGCCTAGCGAATCTCTACTATAAAAAAAGAACTTTTTCTACAAGTCCTGGCTGTTGTATCTTAACTCATTTCTTTAACTTGGTATTTTTCTTCTTCTTTATCCCTGGCACAAAAGGGCAGAAACACTTGGGTAGTATGTTTCCCCTCCTACCCACCTCTGGAGGTGAGGGGTGTACAACTTATTTGGCTTCTTGCAAAAAGGAAAAAAAAACCTTAAAGGGCCTGTTCAGCTTTTGTGGGAAAGGATACCACTGACTTAAGATTAGGTAATAGGCACTAATGTTTTTTACATCACTGAAAAGAACTTTCTCATTTAAGTTTACAGTGCATGTTTCATCTGTAAGAACTCACATCTGTTAAGCGTGGATAAGATGGAGATAGCCACCCAGTGGGACAGTAATAATAATCCTGGTGATCCAGTATGTCCAGTCCATGTGGCCTGCTCACATAATCACCCACTGTCGTTGCTGCTGTGGTGTATTCAGAGCTATCTACTTCCTTTAGCATGTCTTGTATTAAAAACTGCAATGCCTAATTTTCAAACTACGTTTAGCCCAGAGGGAAGTAATCTAGGCTATGTAGGGCTGAGGCTTAAACCTGAAGCCTGCTGGGATTGTTTGAGCAGCTCCCTAAGAAGCTATATGGTGTGTTAGTCAAGGTGCCAGCCTTGTAGAGGTTCTTCTATCACTTTTCTTCTTTTTTTTTTTTTTTTTTCCTTTTCCTCCTTTCACAGGCTGGGGGGGAGAGAGACAAAAAACAAATAAACTTGAAATATTTGTTGTTAACATATTGTAAGAATAAAACAGATCTGCACGTTTCCAGGAGCATTCAGCTAGCACATTTTGGAAGTTAAGGCCAACTGGGCATGATTTGTAGCTAGGGAGGATGTGCAGTAGAGCTGTATAATTTCATTGCCTTCTGTATGGAAAGTGTAAATTACCTGGGGAGGGACTGGTGCCTCAGACATTTTGCTTCAGACACATAAAATCAGATAGTGCCACTGTGCTGTTTTAAATTGGAGCTATTTCCCAAGTGCAGGTGCAAAAGCTTTGTGGAACGGTAGCTCTATAAATCTGCAATTTTAAGCTTACCGAGCTAGTGATAGAAGAACAAAACATCAGGTTTGTGATAAACAAAAACAATGAAACAAAATACGGAGTGTGAGAAAATGGCACTGATGGGAGTTGAGGCTTTTAGCTTTTTATACTTGGGAGAGGACAAAAGTCTTTTCTGTTCTCTGTGGGTTTTAACACTCTGTTTAATAATCTACTTGAACTGACTTTGTAGAACTGTCACTGACTTTTCTTATAATGGAGAGAAATGAGAGTGGCATTGCGATCCGTTTTCACTAGTTATTTTCCCAGTTGACATTGGTGTTTCACTTCTCTTGAAACAAGTTAGAGCTTTATACTAACCTGAATAATACCTTGTTTCTTCTGAGTAACAGTAAGAATATGGTTCTCCCTAAAGCAATAAGCCATGTAATCTATCCATCCATGAGGAATTCTTGCTCAGGGGGGACGGAGGTGTCTTAAGTGCAAGAATCACTTGTGCTCTTTACATCCCTTACCTGAATTGACTTCCTACGTAGCTGTAAAGTTCAACATTAAGAGCCATATGTTCTAATTACTCTGCTACTGAAAGGGAGGAGGAGGAAGAGTTCATGCTTGGGAGAGCTCCATAGTGCAGTCTTAGCGTCTTAGTTTTCTTTCTGCTGTGGAAATAATTATTAATATCTTTTTGTTCTTGTTCAGAAGGCTTATTTTTGCTCTCCCCTCCACACCACCAAAAGGCTGGAATAGTTTCTTCAGCTTTCTAAAACATGAAAAAATACTCAAAATTTGACAAAAGCATAATGCAAGACTAATTATAAGTTGCCTTTGCTAAAGGGCAAAATGAACTTTTTTTGCAAAGTGATTACTTTCCAGTGCTGGTTTTTCTTCTGCAGGTTGAGGTGATTGAAAGTGATGGCTCTTGTTCTTTTGACTGTATAGTACTAACTTGGGTTACCATCTCTGACAGGTCTTGTATAATATGTAAATTAAGGGGAAAGGAAGACTAGCTTTCAGTATTCCTCTAGGAAGCCTACTGGTATACTCTCTCAAGTCTTAACTTGTTTACCGTGTTGGATTACAAATGTGAGTTTTCCTTTAAGGTGTTTACTTAAATTCTTGGGTCCCTAGCTGTTTGTTCTTTCATTCTTCTTTGTCTGTTTTTCTTTCTTTAAGGGTTTTCTCATTCCTTTATGATTCCTTACATTTAATTCACCATATTAATTAACCAGAACGTTTACTCTAGTTTTTTTTTTTAAGCATTTGATGAGAAAGCAGCTATGCAGAAACTCTGTTTCTCTGATCCTCTTTGGCTTATAATGCTGCAGCTATTCAAAGCTGCTGTCATTTTGCACTTGCTTTTTTTTTTTTTTCCTTAGTGTTGTTTCAAATAACACTGAAAAGTCACGGTAGCTAGAAGGCTAGAGAATGTTATTACTTGCTTCTTGTTTTCCTCCAATTTTATTTTATGCCTTTAAAAGCATTTATTAAATACTTTTTGCTCCCCCACCCCACCCCGCATGGTCATTTTATCTGCTTGAAATGCTTGCAGGCAATGATAAAAGAACAGCAGTTTGCAGGTGGATCTGGGCAGGAACTAACTTGGGTGCTGTTTTAACTGAATATATTTCAAATTAATACATTTCTTGAAGTGGATGGTTTGAAAGATTGCTAACAAAATTGCTTTTAAACACACTTAAAGAATATGTAAATTCCATTCCACTCCATGCCGTAAAATATTGTAGCTGATGCGTATGCTTTCTGTGCTTTTTTATCTTCAGAGTAAGCAACTGAGTCATAGACAATAGAATATGGCCGGACAAATATCAGAATCTGATCAGATTAAGCAGGTAAGATGTTGTATTCCCAGATGGTGGCTTTGAAGATGTTGTATTACTTCATCACATACAGTAAAAGACACAGGGCATGAGGAAGGACAAAAAGTACTCTAAGTTCTCTCTTGAGGTAAGAGTAGTTCTCTAGCAAACTTTTGACCACAGACACCGAATAGCATCTGATTTATTTGAACAATGACAGCACTAGATGCTGAAGTCTACTGAACTAATAGCAAATTTTTCTAGTGACTTGTTCTTTAAATATTAGTGTCACTGGGTGGTACGTGCAGCTATGCACAAAGAAAATTAATGCAGAATTTTTTATATATGTGTTGATTGTCTGTTCACTTTGTATTTATAGTTCAAGGAGTTTCTGGGAACATACAATAAACTTACAGAAACCTGCTTCCTGGATTGCGTGAAGGATTTCACTAGCAGAGAGGTTAAACCAGAAGAGGTATGTAACTGTTTCCTGCACTTTTGATTTTCCCTTTCATGGGAAAGAGAAAGCATTTAAATTTCAGAAGTGACTTTTGAAAGTTTTGATCTTTCAACTAGCTAAAAAAGCCAGGGAGCTGTCTTGAGTGGAGCATAGATGTTCAGTGTAAAGCTTCCAAGTGAGAGACGAAGTGAATTAGAGGAAGAGAGGGAAATAGCTTATCTGTGGTTTTGCTGCTCTACAAATATCAAAAGGTGATGACAAATAGGCTTTTTTGCACCTAAACAGCCTATTTGTGAAAAACAAACAAACAAAAAGAAAAACTCTCAATCCTTCCGCCATCTCCCCCAAATGCTTTTGATATCTTAGGTCACCAGTTAGAAAGTATGAACTAGGACTTCTTGAGGTCTTGTCGTCTTTTCATTAAGCATACACACAGGGAACCTTCCTTTTCTCACTGTTAGTACTGGCCGCTTATTGCTATTCTGTGTATTTTGTTTTCTGAGCTATCCGTGGAGGTTCTTGTGCCTTGACAGTCAGAATTCTGATAGATAATATCTTTAGGGACATGGAGGTTGCCCACCTGCAGTCTAGTTCTGTGAAGGTAGAATTCTATTGAAACGTTTCTTTTTCTACATACCCACATTCCCTGCGTTGTTGTGAAACATAGAAACACAGGTCTGCAAAGCCCTGGCTGTTAAATCCAGTCCTCTGCATTGCAGGGAGCTCCATCATACAGTCATTTGCAACAAAGATTACGCTCTAGGTAAGATTAGTTGCGTGTTTTTTACCTCCCCTCCCCTGTTGAGAGGCTGTTTCATAATCTCATGATTTTGTTGGTTAAAAGTCTAATATCCTGCTTTTGCTTAACTATGCTGGCAGAAAAACAAAGAAGATTTAAACTAGCTCTTGAGCATTTTCTACCTGCTAGGAATTTTACTCCCCTGCCCCTCATGTATCTGTTCAGCTTTTGCTTTGCTGGACTAAACAAAGCTCTTCCCCACCTCCCAAGACAGGTTCTTTGTTCTCCTGATCTTTTCTGCATCTATTCTAGTGGAATTTTTCTTGATTCAAGGTAGTCAGAATCATTCTGGGTAAGGTCCTGCCTCTGCCACCAGTTCATTTTGAATTACTTGAGCAATACAAGGAGTTTCTGTTAACAGAACTGACAGAAATGTTAAGGGGACAGCCTCTTTATCTTTCTGGGATGGCATTTGATTTCCAGTAAAGGATTACGCTTTGATCTTTTACTACCCTAAGTGTTACTAGAATTTCATTAAAAATACAGGTTCAAGTAGTCTTTTGTTGACGAATTGGATTCCAAGACCAAAGAACCCTCATGAGGGGGAATTACATTTGAAGGGTGTTGTTTAGATGCAAAAAAGAATAGTCTTAGATTCTAATCAGCTTTTTTTTTTTTCCCCCTTCCCCTGCTGCGATCTGCAAATGGACAAGACATGAGCCATTGGTTAACAGTGGAGGCTAGGAATAAACTTTCTTACAGGAACTTTGTTACATAATTATCCATTACAGAGCTTCTTGCAAAGCATCTGGCTCTGGCCACGGTTGGAAACAGGATAACAGGATACTGGTCTAGATGGGCTACTGGTCTGATCTGCTATGGAAATTCCTAAGTTCCTATTTGAAGCTGTAGTTTCTTATTAAATAATTTAGACAAATACCTCTAAGAATCGCCTGTGAGATTCTACATTTGTGAAAAACAGCCTCTGACCTCTTTCCTTACAACAATCTCCATTGCAAGTCTAGACTTCCCAAGGCACTATATCACAAATACCGCACCCTCTGGGAGAAGGGACTTGGGATAGTTCCAAAATTCAACAGAATTTGCTTCCTATTTAGACTTAACTCCTGCTTAACAGGTTTTACTGTAGCTGATGCCAGGTCAATGAGAGAGAAGGGGGAGCGGTTAGTTGCAGGGTTTTTGTCTTGTTTGCTTTCAGTCCCTCTACTTTTCACAACCCTTAGTGCTGAGCATAATCAAAGCAAATCCTCTTTTGCCAATAACCATGCAAAGTGATTGTCTTTTCTTTGTATCTGGAAACTTTACGGTAATAGTGATAGCTAGGTTTGGAACCAGATTGCAGAATATCTGATAGGCAGAATTGCAGCTTAGAAATAGGTCTAATAACTTTCTCTACACTTACATTAAAAAAAAAAAAAGCTCTAAATTACAAAAACAATTCAACCTGCAAAATAGGCCCAGGTATTTCTATCCCTGTCTAGCTGACTGGTAGAACTTCAGAAGGTGTTCTGGTTGCTTTTGTCAAGGTTAACCAAACAGGTACTGTTAGACTGATAGAGCTCATTGGAGCAAGGTCAGAAGAAGGGTAAACTGAGCAAGCAGACAGTAGACCATATCTGGCTGTCAAAAGTAGTAGGTATTTGTAAGCAGAATTTGAAGAAATGGAAACTAACGTAAAAGACTTTGTATTTGCTGCAGAATAAAATGCTTTTTTTACTTCATGCTCCATGTATTTCATGGGAGGAGTCCAAGGATGAAATGGTAATATATGCTAGTTTTAAGACTTTTTTCCATGAAGACTTTTTATGAGAGTGAATATTAAGACATCTCAGAGATCCCTCAGAAATTAAACTTTCTCAATGCACAAAGAGGGTATGTATAATTAGGCCCTGAGCTTGAGGCTAAACACATAACATGAGACATAGTCACCCAATCATATATGCCTGTATATGATTATATTTTCGTTCATATTCTTGGAATCTTTTTAATTACTGTTTGGACTCTTCTGTTTCCCTTTCCCTGTAGATGACCTGCTCAGAACACTGCCTACAGAAGTATTTAAAAATGACACAAAGGATCTCCATGCGATTTCAAGAGTACCATATTCAGCAGAACGAAGCTCTGGCAGCTAAAGCAGGACTGCTTGGCCAGCCTCGTTAGACAAGAGAGTACTCTGTTCAGACTTTTTAAGCAGTGCCAGTGTTCACTGGACAAGAACACATTTTGGATTTTCTACTCTCGGGATGTACGTCCAGCAACTCCAGAGAGAGTTCTAGATGCTGTTTGGAAGGTGGAGACCATGAAGGGTTACACAAGAAGTTAGTAATGGTTGACTGGTAGTGGAGTCTGTTTCTGAGGTCCTTTTTCTTGAACAATCAAATAATGCTGATACAAACTTGTCTAGGGCCCGCAGACTGGTATGTTTCAATTTCAGGGAGGTGGGAGGGTTATACTTTGTTTCTTCTGCTCTATTTCAGACGCCAAAAAAGTGTAATATAAAAGTACATACATAAATGTCTTGACACCTTTTTTATTTAATTCAAGTAAAATAAATGGGAACTATACAGGTGTATGTATGTTCTTTCCAAAGATTCATTTTTAAGACACTTCTTTGGAGCCATGTTTTAAGTTTGCTGCAGTTTTGTTTGTCCTCACCTACTGCAGAGTCCTGTTCATTCATTGCTGCTTTGAGTTACTGATAGACAGATCAAAGACAGTGGCTCTGTTTCAGCAGCTAGGGATGTGTGATTGTGTCATTTCTCTTCATTCAAGAAGAACTTCAGCTCTTTTGCTACCAGCTGCCCCCTCAGAATCTCATGCTCGTTCTTGGTCTCCTAGAGCGCTTGCGCGGTGGTGCTGACAGCATCAAGGCAAGGATAATGTGAGACAGCTGCTGTAACTACAGAGCTGGGGAAGGCAGGGAAGCTACCTGCTTACCCCTAGGTTATATTTGGTTCATATTTCACCAAGTCGTCCATAAGTGATACAAGTGCATCATTAGCACCCACCTACTCCCAAGGCAGCTTCTACACACTCCCTGTTTCTTTTGGGGGACCCTGGAGGTCCTCTAAACCCAGCTTCATTGCCTGATGAAAATGTAATGCATTTCTTCAGTAACATTAAGCTTGCCGGCAATTTTCTCCTTTCATTGCATGAATGTCAACAGAAAGGGTGAAGTATGCACAAGACAATGTCTTTTTTGCTGCTGGATGAGTATGAAGACAAGTTTGTGAAAACTAACTGTACCAGTGTTGTGTTTTTGGTGTAGAAAGGAAACTATTCCTTTGACAGGATCTTAATATCTGAAACTCTAGTCAGATTGTTAGTACAGTAGAATGATGGTTCATTGCCATTTTATTATCAAATAGTCGTGTTCAGAAGTGCAGAGTTAAAAAAAATAAACAGAAAACGAAAAAAAAAAACCCAAATGTACTTCATCAGTTAACAACCACTGTAGCTAACAGGCACATTTTATTTTAATTCTAACTAAAAATACAGTGAACAAATGGAAATGAACATCTGGATTAGCATGTATGCTTTGAGACTGCAAGAGACTACTTCTGACTACATGGAGTTGTTTTAAGTCATTTGCCAGGTTCTGCTGTTAGGTACAAAGGCAACAAAAAAGAGCCTAATTCGCCCTTTTTATAGTCCTTCCTGTTAAAGGTTGCTCTTTACTGGTCATCTATTGCTTAAACAGTTGCCCATTGATGGCCGCAGCTACACTTGCAGCACTACTTCTGGAACCAAAATTCCAAAATGTAGGAAATCAATGACAACTGTTAAAATGAGCTGAATGCAAAACCTTAATTTGTAAAACAACATCCTGTACAAACCATAGTTTTTTGCCCAAAATAAACTAACTGGGTTTATTGTGTTCATATTACTGATTAAAACAGTCATGCCCAATAGGTATAAAGTGCACAGTTCTTTATAAGATTACACAAAAGAATATAAGAGTATGTACTCCTCTACAGGAGAGTATAAGAAAGAGTTGTGTGATGGTGTTCTCTGCAGAAGCATCTTGTACACTGGTGCTGGGAGCATGTGTTGCAAGACCTGCAATAGTTGATGTGATCCTGCATATGCTGAAATATTGTTAGCAATGTGTTCCAGGCTCTTCTTTTAGTCCCTTGCAAGAAACTAATTTTTTAATTGTAATTTTACAGATTGCTTCATAATGTTATATTTATGTTAATAATCCCCCTTTGAAAGATCTCAGCTTTTTTTGATCAAGAAGTTGCATATAAGCAAAAAAAAAATTTTTTTCCCTCCCAAGAGGGTAGTAGACACACATATCTGCAGAATGTTTCATATAGTCAAAAATTAAATTTTTGTTAACTTTATCAGGACTTAAAGGAAAATATTTTAAGCAGATAACGCCCTCTTCTTAGAATGCAGTAAATGCTACTGTTGGTCTTAGTATTGACCTTTTAAAACCATTTGTATATATTGGATAAATATACAATAGTAGCTGGAGATTTTTATTTTATTGAGCACTGGCAAAGTTTGAGTTCATACACAAATTTCTAGAGCATTATGCTAAGGAGCAGCAGCAACGTCAACCCTAACTGTTGTGGGATTAACTGCCTCTATCCCCTTACTGCTGCTCTGGTGGAAGATGCTTCCATGGCTGTTGGAAGGCTATAGTTTTAATTGTAACATTATAGACAGAGCAGCATCAAAGTAGGTTATATTAATTTAAGTGCATTCGTTCTAGGCTGTGGTACTATTTGCCTTCAGGAAACATTTGTACCTGCACCATAATAGGCCAGGTCTGAAAGAGGAGCAGAGCTGCTCAAGAGGAACAAGAATTGAGAAAGTGAAGTATGTAAAGACTCAGGCGTTTACGTACAGTTTTGTTTCAGAAAAGCCACATGAATTTATTATTTGGGTGACTCAACGGAAAATAAAAGTAAAACCAAACTTTAACTTCCCTTCCGTAGATCATAATTTTAAGATTTGCAGTCTGAACATTGTGTACATTTCTTCAGCGGTTCATGATTTTCCCCTACATGCTTTGCAGCAACCCCGACAAGTGCAGGAGAAAAAAAGCCCTACTACCATTTTTGTTGATAACTTTTTTTTTTCAATTGCTTGTGGCTGCTGCAATAGATCGAGTTGGTACTCTTTTAGAAAAGTGTTCTGGTGTACTGAGTTTTGTCTTGTTTGTCTTTTATTTTCAATTGCAAGCTGCTGACAACTCGGGAAACAAAACAGTAGACCCTTGCTTGGGAATTGTATAATTGTGGCAAAAATTCTTACTCCAACCTTGAAGAGTTTCGTTTGTTATGCTAAACAACAGGTGCATAAAGGAGACTGGAGAAAACAGAAACAGTCATGGCAATAGGAATCATTATATATATATATATATATTTGTATGTATATATGTATATGTACACATACATATATGTATATAATTTTTTTGAAAGGAATCATCAGAAGAGTTTAAAGAGCATTTTCAAGAACACTTTTCTGATGCTTCCAAGGGAGAAGATACAAAAGTATTTCCTGCGAAATATTTTGACTGGGCAACTGCAACTACTGCCATTTGCAGAATAAAGGGAGGGGGTGAAACCTCATTACCATGTAAGTCAGCCATAAATAGCACTGAAGATGAAAGGCTGCAGAACAGCCATGGCAGGAAGCCTGCCCACATGCTTTGTTGTTAGTAGCTTCTCTCTAGCTTTTTGCTTCCAACAGCAGTCTGGAAAATGCTTTCCCACCTTGCTGTTTTCCTTGCTACTCTAACTCTCAGCGATTCAAGCCCTGACTGCAGCGCAGCATTGCAGGCTGTACAATGCAGTGCGCCTGCCACTTGTGCTGGACACTGCTCTGCTTGCTGCTCTTTAAAGATGCCCCAGCTCGACACAAAAATCAGTTCATATGCCCTTTAAAGGTGGAAGAAGCAAATAGGTTCCTATAGTCTCATTTATCTGCTTTGTACTATCCATATGACTGCTTTATCCCACATAGCCCATGCCTTGTTACCTTGGAGATACCTGAGAGCTAACTCTAATTTGGCCTAAGATGGTAAAGGCTAAAAAGGAGCCCAAATAAGGCAACAAGTCTCTAATGTCCTGTATTTTTTAATGGATTAACATAGTAACGATGTCCAGATTGCTACAGTTAGACCACAAATGTTATGCCCCATTTGTAAATAATGTACCCATTTTAAAGTGTTACGGCTTTCGTTAAAGTAGTCTTTTTTGTTAAACGTTAAAGGTAACTCATAATTGAAATGATCTTCCATTGTATCTTAATGTGCAAAAAGAGTAGAAAGGCCAGCTGAATTCAGAAGAGCTGAAGAGTTTAAGTGATGGGACTGGAGAACATTTATGTCTTTTGGGCAAAGTTTCCTGGGGCTGAGGTGAGGAGGATGAAAAATCAGTTTTCCTCATGTTTCAGTACTTGGGGATTTGGGGCAGGAAGATGTTTAAATATTTGTTAAGACAGATTTACTGTACTAAAGGTTAAGCAAGTGTTAGAGGGAGTTAGTTAATAAATTACTCACTTTTAGGTTCCCCAGTTTCTCTGGACTTCAGTTTTAAAACCTTCTTAACCCACTGTTATCCAGGGAAAACATTCACTCTTAAAATCTATAAAGATGTCACGTCCCCCTGCCTCTCCCTCCCCCACTCACAAAACAAATAGCGGGATGGGAACGTGTCACTTGGAGGTACAAACATCAAGCTGACATCTGCTACCCTGAAACGGAGCTGACCAAACAAACACGATGACTTCTGCAGGAGCTATGTGCTTCTAGTGACTGTAGTTTGTTTACAGATGTAGCTGTTAATTATGAACATTTCAAAGCTACTTCAAGTCGAAAATAGTTGCTATGCTTTTTGCACAAAGGATGGAGTCACTGGCTTTTACCTTTAGATCACCAGTTCTGTCCTAGCTCCATTCCATTGAGAAAAAACCACTTGCATTCTTCCAACATCTTTCAATCTGTGCAACTGGTGTAACTTGCACGTAAACCAAGAAAGATGATACAAATACATTTTAGCTTGGAAGTAAAAGTGTATCAATGCAACTAAAGCATTGAGCTGATGCAAAATGTCATAAGAGCAACAGTGAAAATTTTATCAAAAGGTTAATTTGCTTTGCTGACCTTTGACTGCCTTCTGCTTCCTTGTGAGCTGTTTGCATTTCCTGATGGCTCAAACCATGTTATTTAGAAAATAGCAACCCATAAGATATTGGCAACAGGACTTGTGGGTTGAGAATGATCTTTAACTTGCTACATTGATAGAAAGTGTTTCAGTGCCTCATGCCCTTTGTGTTAATTAGCATGTACTGGCAAAAGGTTGCAGCTATTCTTTCATCATAGCAAGATTACGCTATATTCTCAAAGACATTTAATTGGAAAGGCAAAAATCCTTATTTTGATAGTGCCTGAATGGAAGTCCACTATGAAGTCTGGGAACGTCTCCAAAAGCCGGCACAGTTACAATTTTTTCCTACAATCACCAGCTTTTGGATGTAGAAAAGATAAAAAGTGCTTATACCTTAAGCGTACAATCACTTTGCCATACCTACTTTTCTGTCTGTTCTGCCTAGTCAAAACTTTGTGAACCTGAAGATGAGCTACTGGAATGCTTATCAATTTGCTAAATCAAAGCCTTATGTTTCGACTCAACCATGTATTAGACACAAAAGCATGACTTTCAAGCATTAACCTGAGATATAATTAATTTTAACTAACGCTTCATTTAAATTACTTTCAATATCGATGCTCACAAGGGTCCCTTGCAGAAGATGTTTAAAGGTACAAACTAGAAAAAAGGCAAGCTTTATCTGGGGACTTAATGCCTGCAGCTCACCCTCTTGGTAATCACAAAATGCCCATCCAATTGCAACATCCTTCTCTATGTAATCATAACTTCATGTGTCTGCTGAAGGTCCATCAGTATGTGCTGTTTCTGCTGAAGGTCCATCAGTATGTGCTTAGCTTTGTATCTAATCATGTGCCTAACTTCCAATAGCAGTCACTACGATCTTGTGCCCAAATGCAGTAGGACTCTGCCACCGAGCTTGGCTGGTGTGCATGCTTGTGGCTCACCTGCTACCTACGGACTATAGATGCAGAAGGTTATTCTGCTGTCCCAGTGATTAATGTGTTGGGCTATGGGAGATTCAAGGTCAAAGTCCTGTTTGTGCTGGAGGGAACCTAATCCACATGTTTTCTCTCCTAGTGGAATATTTTAACTCCCATGATGCAGCTTACTCTGGAGTGTGCCCTACCCCTCCTCCTGAATAGCTTCAACTTTTCATGCTATAACGAAATATACAGCCAAAGACAGAATAAAAATGAGACCACAAGCTTAGTCTCTGGTTCCTAACTGAAAGGCAACAGAACTAAAAAATAAGGTTCAGAGTAGAGGGTGAGTTTATCACCTCGACTAGGCAAATCAGGTTAGGCTCAGTGGTGGAACCAACTCTGATGGAAGGAAAAGGGAGTGGAAAGGGAGTGGGCCCCAGACTGCAGCGGCACTCCACGGTGGAGTATGCCCTGTCCTGGAGAGGGAGTCCTGAGAGAGGTGTGGGAAGTGACCCAGAACAGAGATGCAGGTGGGGGGAAGAGAGGGCAACAACCGTACAGCCTGCCTAAAATTAGTTTGATGCCACTGGGCTAACGAACAGACTCTCATTTGGAGGTGACATTCATTGCAGCAGCAGAGACAGAAAGTGATCCCTTGGGAGACTGTATTCCCACCCCACACCAGGGCAGGGCTCTACCGCACGGTCCCTTCACCCCTTCAGCCACTGAGGCAGCCCAGTACCTGCTCACCACCGCCGGCCCACCTCAGGACCACCGCCACGGCTCCTGCTGCTTCTCAGGTCCCTCGACCCACTGCGTGCGGCTCCCGCCGCTTTCCCCGGT